GTAATTCCATACCCTAGAAAGAGAAGAAGACCAGAGAGCTTCCTTAGAAGGATGAGATACTGCACTCTGCTCTCCCAGGGGACACGGGAAGGGAAGCCTCCGACGGAGAACAAGGTAATGCACTAGGGAGGAGAAGGGCAGTGGCCTGCGCCCTGGACACGCATGCAGAAGCCAGCATAGTTGCACAAGGCGGAGACTTACGATGGCCCTCTAGTTACATCGGCTGTGGTTCAGAGGCATCTAACAGAGTAAAGAGAAATCGAACCACAGACCGGCTCTGAACACAAAGGGTCCTGCTCTCTCCGAGCCGGAGGCTGGGGCTCAGTCCTCATTCTTCTCCCGTCTTTCTTACCTCCCATGGAGCTCTTCACCACTGTCCTGGCTTTGAATACTGACTATATGCTCATGACTCCATGCTCTGACCTCAGACTGAGTGTCCAACTATTTACCTGTCACCTCCACTGGGAAGCGAAATAAACACGTCCCAACTGAGCTCCTGTCCTCCTCATGCAAACATGCTCCACCTCCTGTCTTTTCCAGTCGATACCAGCTCTGTCCTCCCACTGCCTAGCCCAAACCTCACAGCCATCCTGGATGCTTCTTTCTCCCACTCCCACATCCAGTCTGTCAGGAGATACTGTTAGTTCTATTTTCAAAACAGACCGAGAATCTGACCATTTTCACCACTTCTATTGCTGCTGCTTTGGTGCATGCTACCATCCCCTCTCACCCTGGTTACCACATCCACCTTCTACGTGGTGTTCTGGTTTCTACTCTGACAGCAAAGTCATCCTTTGGAAATGTAAGTCAGATTATGGGACACCTCTTCTCAAAGGCATCAGTGTCTCCCCTTCTCGCTCAGCAGGAGAGCCAAATTCTGGTCCCCTTCCCTGATCCCCTCCCCTCTCCTCCTTCTCCTGACCATTCTGCTTCTCTGGCCACAAAAGCTCTTCTCCCAGGTATCTGAATGGGTAACCCCTCACTTCTGTCTTATTTAAAACAGCCCCTGCCTTCACCGCTCCCTAGCACTTCTGACCCCCGTTCCTCAACACTATTCCTTTTCTGAAGCTCTTGCCATCTTTTAACAGATAGTCCAATTTCCTTATTTTCTGTACTTATTGCATTGCTCACTGATTACTTCCCAGACCCCAGCTCATTAGGAGGGGGCTTTTGTTTTGTTCACTAAAGAGTGGCCTAGGGATTTTAGGTGCCTAAAATCGTACCTGACACACACAGAAGGTGAGACGATAAATATGGTGGAATGAATGATGGTTCCTGGGATTTGTGGGAAATCCATTCCTGAGTGGCAGGGGCGGGGGGGGAGGGGGGGGGAGGGGGGCACCAAAGCCTAGTAAAGGCAAGGAGGAAAGGAAAGGTGTTTAAATGTGAGGAATATTCAGAGGGCAGTTAGGATGAATACGTCAGTTAGGTGAGGAAATGAGAGTTGATTTCTACAGGGTTAAAAGAGTCAAAGATGATGAATCGCAGGTGAAAAGCCCTCATGGATTCCTCTGAGGCTACAAGTATGGATTCCTGCCAAATTGAACATATGTCCGGGAATGGATGTCTTGTGATGACAGTAAGACTAGAAAAGTCTGGGGAGTGAAATAAAGGGAGGCACCCAGGGAAGACATCCTGGAGTTGTGAACTTCCATGCACCAAGGAGTGTCCAGACCTGTAAGCTGCCAGTGGCTTGAGGGCAGAACCATATGGGCGGAGAGACCCACCTCTGAGACTAAGCATTACTGCTCATATAATTTGTCATCTACAGTATTGTTTGCTACCTGAGTGCAGGGTTATGCCAGAACTGGGCTTGTGGAACAGCCCTATCTAGGCTTGAGTCACGGGCAGTGGTCAATAAGCTGTGCTTGCTTTGATCTGGCCATACCTGTCAACCATCTGTACGAGCCTAATCGTGTCTGGGAAATGAGGGCTCTAACACTGTCTGTGGGAGGTAAGTTATAATTAAATATAATTGGCTAGAGACTAGGCCCTCCCAGCTATTCCAGCAGGGGTTTGGGAAAAAAATGTCATTTGCCTGGATGCCACAGTTTCTCCCATTCAATAGTGCTTTACAGTTTTCATAGATTTTAAAATAGATGCTCTTATTTGAGCTTCAAAACATAGTGCCATAAATATCATCATATTCCTTGACGGATGAAGAGACTAAGTCTTCTACAGAAAGAAGAAGCAACACTCAACGATTTGCCAGCTTTGACTTCACGTCCAGCCCTCTCTTCCTTTCCCACACTATCTTCCTGCCTTGGGTGATGTTACATTTATTCCTTTTGTTCAGAAGCCATTAATTGTATGGGAAGGGAAGAAATTGATCCAGAAATATGCGTTGGGTCTCCGGACACCTCCCCTTGCTCTCTATCGCACACATTGTCCCCATTTAATCCATTGACCACTCTTCAGCAAAACTTTTCACAAACTCCTCAGTCTAGAGGAATGAGGAGCACTTCCACGTGGGGTAAAGGTGGTCTGGGAGGAGTCAGAGGTGCATCAGAACTACAAGGGTGGGCTTATAAATAATTTTTTTGTTTAGAAAAAAAAACAACCTATGGTTATTGTGAATATAAATTCTAGAACGTAAGGGCTGAACAAATCCTGGCTGGTGGAAGTAAACGGAGGGGGACCTGTGAGATGCATAGGTTTATCTAAGGGCATCATGGATTAAAGAGATAGAGGAACTGTGGCCCAGGGCAAACTCTGGCCACATCAGGAGGCCGGGATTCCAGCTGTGTGGCATAGAAAGGCAGTTAATCTCTCCACTGTCATCTTTATCATCAGCAAATTAGGGATGATAATTCTTGCCTGTCAAATCCACAGGTTAGTTCAGAATTACAGGAGATAAATGCAAGGGTGAACTGTAAATAGAAAACCATTTACAATCGGAAAGTACTGCATGATCATTTCACGCTTCTTTCTTGTCCTGCACTCCCTCTCTGCTCCCAACATAGCCAATTATATACCCCCCCCCCCAAATTTTTCTTTTGTGTTGTCTTTGTTTTTCTTTTAAAAACAACAACAGTTGGGGAGAAAATGGCAGGTTGAGTGTTGATGTGGGCCTTGCCAATAGTGAGAACCCCAGAGGACCCCCTGAAACAGCAGTGGGTCCCCTCTGCATGCAGGGAGGCAGCTCGCTGTCACCTTCCTGCATTTTCCTGCTACCAGGCTCCAAGTCCCTCACATAGATTTTCATATGGATGTGCACTGCTGTCTGAAAAAATGACATCCTTGGAGGGCAGGGCCCCCTGCTGCTCTCCCTTCCCTGTTCCTCTCCCGAGTACTCCCTCAGTTCAGAGCACTGCATGGTGCAAGCTCCAAGCACAAAGGCTCTGGCTGTTACATATCCATGTACAACTCATGGCCCTGAATAGCGCCTGAGATAAGACTTAAGGCTCTTCCAGCTGGCGAAACTGTCAGTGTGCTCAAGAGTGCTGAGGGAGGGGGTGGGAGGGGAGTGGGGTGCAGAGAATGAGTGGGAAGACTGATTTTTAAAAGATGACCTTCCATTTACTGGAAGAAGTCAAGGGAGAGTGTACACACGCATGCACACACACAGACACACACATACACACACACCATGAGACAGACAACTCAGAGAGATCTGGGAGACAGAGGAGAAATTGAATCTGGAGTTAAAGGGGAGCAGGGAGGGTGCAAGGGGCTGACGGGGGCGGTGTACGGAAAGCACGGCCGCCCCCTTCCGAAGTCCATCAGCTGGGAAGGGGCAGACGGGATTTTACGCAAGGGAATCAGGCAGGTAAAATAACATGTCAGCTCAACCGATAGGGGGCAAATTATGGCATGGAGAGGGGAGGGTGAGACACAATGGGGAGATGGTGGCGATTGCTAGGGTAGTTTCAAACATCTTAGATCAAACTGTACAGCGTCTGCTCCGTGCTGTGATTCAATGGTTCAGTGTGTCAAAGGTTTGTGCAAACATTACCAAGTCTCTTAATTAAGGAAAAATAATGACAAAAAAATTAAACAACACATGTTAAACACTAACTGCAGAGAGCTTGCCTATAGATAAAGAGAGGAGGTTTAAACATGCCAGGTAACAAAAAGACGTGTGCAGGAACTGGTAGGAACTGTATAGGAGGAGGCAACTCTTGGGACAAGGTGGCAGGAGGCCTCGGAGCGCAGAGGCTGGCATTCTGTCTGAGGCCGGGCAGCCAGGGCAGAACGTGAGGGGGATGGGAGTGGGAGAGAACCAGGTGAGTGAAGAATCAGTTCCCTGCGTGGGTCCATGCGGGAAGCAGATGCCACTGTCCCCAGCAAGAAGGAAGAAAGGCCCCCGCAAGAGCTCTCAGTGGGTCACCCAGCCACCTGGCTCTTTGGCTACTCCAGAGAAGAGGGGTGTGCAAGCAGGTGTCCAAGCACAACTGGTTCTCTTCTCCTCTCCCAAAGGTGCTTGGAGAGCTGCTGACATTAAATGGGGTGGAGCCCTTTCAGTGTGAGTGTAATGGGCTGGGCCTTGGGTTGACAAAGCAGGCAAAGACAGAGCCTTAACTCCATGTCTCCCTTTCTAGGATGCTGTGGGTGAAAAGGCAGGAGGGGGAGAGGCGGTGGTCTGGAGGTGAGATGGGGGTGAAAAGAGGTTTGGGCCCTGGCCCCGGCAGCTGCTCAGACCCAGAAGTTGTAAATACTCCTTGATTTTCTCACTCCATGATCCCCATAGCTGCATCCTCCTATACAGCGTGAGTCATGCCAGGCGGATTGTAAAGGGAGAGAGAAAAAGATGCAGCAATCAAAACTTAAAAGGATCAGGGAGGCCTAATTCGTAACGAAGTTAAAAAAAAACTTAAAAGTTCCAAAAGAAAGCGACAAGAAAAGATCCTTTAAACCAATTTAAACGAACAAATTTAAAAAACTAAATGAGAATTAGGAGGTGGGGAGGAGAAAATAAAATGAAGAAAAAAATAAACCGGGGAAAGACAATGAGTGTTAGAGCAGGCACGGACAGTTAGGTACAGACGCCAAGTACTTACGTTTACCTCGGTGATTGCTATATCAACAATGCTACCCACAACAATCAAGGCGTCAAATGTATTCCATGCATCACAGAAATAGTGCTGCATGGGGCAGAGAAGCCGAGGAAAAGAGAGAGAGAAGAGAAAAAAAACCAACAACAAAGGAGAAAAACAAAACAAAAAAAGGAAAAATGAAAAAAAAAAAAAGCATGAAAGAAAGGAGAGAAGAGAAAAAAATGAGAAAAGAAAGAGGTTACGTGGGTATAGTAAACACTCTCTTACCACTCTACAGTTCTGGCGGCTCAGACCTGGGCAACCTGGTTCTCGCAGGGTGGAGAGGCCTGACAAAAGCTGGGTTAGTTCAGAGCTTACACTGGGCCGTGGCCACCCTGGGAGGGGGACCGGGCGGCCTCCCACCGCCTGCTCCCTCCACTCGGCTCCCAGCTCCTGGGCCCAGCACAGAGGGCCGAGCTGGGACAAGTGGAAAAAAAGGAGGAGAAGCTCTCACTTTTTTTCCCTCACAGGACGACGGCGGGTTCAATAAAAAGCATGACTGGAGGCGAGTAAAAACAGGAAATTAAACAAAATAAATAAAAGGAGGTAAAGAGAGAGAGAGAATGAAAGAGAGAGGGAAACAGGAGGCAGAAGAGGAAGGAAGGAGGAGGTTTCCTGGGAGGGCAGAGTCATACTCACATTAGTTTCACTGAGAATGACGTCAATTATGCTGCCAATTACGATGAGGAAGTCAAAAACATTCCAGGGATCACTAAAGTAACCCTACATAAGGGAGGGGCAGGCAGGACGGGGATTAAAAAGGAATATTAGACAGACAAGAACAGAGCAACATCACCATCAGAATCACCGTCCGGACCTCAGTGTTGCTGCTGGAGTTCCAAACACCCTCGCCGTGGCCAGGAGCCCAGGAGCCCAGGGGAGAAGGGGGCGGCCAATCCTCCTGCCCTGCCTCCTGTGGCCACAGTGGCCACATGGTTCCCCTTCCTCCGGATCCATCCCGCCTCGCCACCCTCCTGCCCAGAGGCCCTTTCTACTTCCCAGCAGGGCAGGAGTGGGCGTGGGGCAGGCAGTGAAGGGTTGTGGCTGGACTCTCTTTTCAGTCCACATTTAGCATCTCCTATAGCCCCACTGCTCTTCCTTCAGAAAGGCTTTTCTGCAAGGAGGGAGGGAACACAGGTGGATGATCCCTTAGAGGAGAATGGGCTGTGGCCCTGTGGTTGATCTAAGAACTAAGAAGTAGCAATCGGTGTGGCCCAGAAGGGTGGCCAGGTCGTCTGGGCCCAGAGGTGGCTCATGTAAAGCTCAGCAATAACAAGGGGGCCACGTCATTAGAATGATACCTATAAAAATATGGGCTCTATGCAGACGGAACCAGAGTCACCCTTGTTCCAGCACTGGACATGCTCCAGTATTCCCAGGGGCAGCTGTGTCCTGGCAAAGGCTTCACTAACAGAAGGGAGACAGAGTCCAGGTCAGTCTTGGAGCTAGGTAATGCAGGACGTGGCCCTGTACAGTGCTCTCAGGGCGTCTCCCAAGCACCTGCCCCAGGCTCCTTTCCCAACATCGTCATTCTGGAATAGGGACCCACCGAAATGCAGATGCCACCGAAGTGAATGACGTTGCCAAAGCCTTTCCTGAGAACCAGACTGACAGGTGTAGTCTGGGCATAGGGTGTGTGGATGGGGACACAGGCTTCCTGGGGAGGGCAGCCATGGAGGAGAGGTTCTAGCACAGATCGGGGAGACAGTGTCCTGATTTCACTACTTTACCCTGTGAGCATGGGATTTTCGGGTTTTCCACCATATTTAGAAAAGGGAAAAAAATGAAAGTTCTTGAAAGACTTTTTTTGAGGTACTTGGATAACTGGTCAACCAAGGGATAGGCTGTCCCCAGTTCCCTAGAGGATTCCAGGAGTCCTAGGTGAGTGGACTCTGTACAAAGTGGCCTCTCTGAGAGGCGTAGGAGTCTAGAGAGAAATGCTGTGACCACACGGGACATCCACTCGCAGTTTAGGAAACCCCAGGACAGCCATATTCCCCTGGGCGGGGTGGAAAAGACCTCATACCAAAGACACTAGTCTTAATGAAAAAGGACATTTTCTCCTTTCGTCCTTTAAGGAATGTCGACAAAGGGATAAAACAGGGCTGGAACACCTTTGCTCAGCAGGCCCAGAATTTTCCTATTCTCTGAGCCACTAGTTGGGGCTTCCAGGAGATGGAATTCTAGAGAGTGGTGAGTGCATATGAAAGCGTTAGGGTTCCTCTGAGAGTTTCCCAGCTCTCTCTCCCCAGCTCTCTCTCCCTTTTTATTTTTTACTCACAAGAGCCAAGAGTCTGTGTTCTTCCATTTCCTCCTGGCTCTATCCAGCTCCCTGAACTTCCCCACTTCCCAGCCATGCCCTCTTTCCAGAGAGATCGCAAGACATGCTGTCCTAGGGCTGTTATTCTTAGTGTGGGAGGTCGGGTCACAGGGAAAGGGGCCTCTCGGTTCCCAGGCATTTCTGCCAAAAGAAAACAGAAGCACCACCGCGGAGACTTCGGACAGCCAGACTGGGGAAGCAGAGGTTGGCCAGGGCATGGGGTCAGGTGAAGGTTGGCTTGGGATCGTGGCTTTCTCATTTGCTTCCCAGAATATTTTTCTGAATATACTAGAGGCTTTGAGGTGGAGAGAGACCTCTCTCTCCCATTCAAGTCACATGCTATGAGCAGGAAACAACCAATTCCCTCCCAGGTTCTCAGATATCATTCTCAGGGCAAATGGAGAAAGCTAATTTTGAAGGAAGGGAGGCAAAGAGCGAAGACCCCAATGAACTATAAATATGCGTCTGATATAAAATTAGATTTCGGAAAACACTGGGGGAATATCTCTAGATAGGAATGCCATCGTTGTGGGTAGAGCTATTTCAGAAGGGAAGGTGAGGGAGGTCGAGAAAGAGAAAGGAGAGAAACAGGAACCAGAGCAGAGTCCAGGATGTTCAGCACCTGGCCTAGAAGACGTGGTAACAAAACATGATTTGGGTGTGGGGGCAGGAGGAGAGGTAGGAAGGTAGAAGGTTCGGGGCATACGAAAGGAGGATGAGTTACAGTCTTTCCTCCACCAGCGACCTGAAACAAAATGGGTAAGTTGGCCTTGGTCTGCAACACCTCTGAGGGGAGGAAAGGGAAAGGAAGAGAGGCAGAGAGCAGGCTCGGGCTAGGTTAACACACAGGTTAATCCACTGGAGAGCACCGGGGGAGGGGCCGAGACCTAAAGGGACCCTGTCAACCTCCTGGCTGTACATCGCTTGTCACCCTTTCTCTTGGGTTTCCGTGTGTATGTGCAGATGGAAGGAAACACAACACAGTCAGCTCCTCCTTGACCATGGCCCTCTCCCATCCCTTCAGTGCTGGCTGCCATTGGGTTGGCTGGGCTCTGTGGAGATTAATGCCTCATGCCTCACACTTGCCCTTAGCAGTCTGTGTTCCTGGAGGCTTTCGACTGACTTCTCTGGGCTGTGGCAAGCTCCCTGGCAGACCCCGTGCAGAGGCCTCCACCGGCTGCAGGACCAACCAGTGCCCTTGTTGCCAAGGGCTCCTGTGGACCCGGCCCTGAGGAGATTTGCACGCATCTGGAATACAAGAGTTGAGGGAGTGTGTTTGGGGAGGTTGGTGACAGAGTCCCTTTAAGAGGCAGCTTTGCACCCTGACCCATTCACTTGCCTTCCCACCCCTCTGGCCCACAGCCCAACAGTCCTGCAAGGTGGACCACGAAGACGGTTTAGATCCAGCTTCCAGGTTGGCTTCCTCCTCCCACTCTTTCAATAGCCTCTTCCTCTCACCCATTCCACACCACTCCCAGAAATAAGGCCGATAGCTCCCATTAGGTCAACAGGTTGTCCAAGGGACGAGGGAGAAACCTGGTCAACCCCTTAACTGGGCGGGGCCTGGGAGAACCGTTTTACCTATGCTCTTTGGGGCATAAGAGCTTAGTGTTCTCTTATTCTCTCTCTCTCTCTCTCTCTCTCTCTCTCTCTCTCTCTCTCTCTCTCTCTCTCTCTCACACACTCACACACACACACGCACACACGCACACACGTTTTTGCCCACCTCGTTTGCTGGAAACCATGGGTAACGTGGGTTTCAGGAGTGTAATGGAGGAAGGAAGATGGGAAAAGGAAATCATTGGTTGTTTTCTCTTACAAAGTTAATTTGACCTGGAGCCAGGTTATACCTGTCACTCCTCCTTTCC